TTTGGCTTCTTACTATGTGACTTGTACAAGTGACTTCCCTTCTTGTGACTTGTACAAGTGACTTCCCTTCTTGGGGACTTACAATCCCCTTCTATAAAATGAAGGGTGGACTAGGTTAGCCTGCCTGGTGGCAAGCAGAATCCATTTCTATTTGAATTTGACTCACCATCTTGATTATTACTTCTCCTCTGTGAGCTCTTGTTTCCTTATCCACAAGATGAAGGGATGAGACCCAAGGGCCACCAAGTTCTTTCCATTCTGTGTTTCCATGAAGGGTTATTGTTTGACAGAAGAACTAACCCTATTTTATTTAGTACTGGAGGGCAGGACTCACAATAATCAGTGCAAGGTATGGGGAGAAAGATTGTAGCTCTACGTAAGGAAGACCATCCCCAAAATCACTGTCCAACAGGAGAATGGGTGGCATCTGGAGATAGTGAGTTTCTCCTTCATATGGAGTGTGGATCCATCCATTTGCCATCATTTATTAAGCATTCATGTACCCTCCGAGTTTACCTCCAATTTATCCTGTCTGCATCTTGTTTCTATGTAGTTGTTTACATGTTGTTTCTCCCATCAGTCTATGAGCTCCTCCAGAACAGGGACTGGTTTGTGCCTTTCTTCATATTCCCATCACTCAGCAAGCTGCTTGACACTCCATAGGTGCTTAATAAATGCTTGTTGACTGACTAGAATCTTTTTAGACAGCAGTCTGTTAGTCCACAGTAAAGTTACAGAAACAGTCATTTATCCTTGACTCAGTGATTCTGTTATTGGGCATATATCCCAAAAGTGTTAACAAAAAACAAAACCAAACAAAAGCTTAGCTCTTCAAAGATTTCCATGGTAGTAGTATATGGAATTGCAAAATATCTGAAAACAATGAAAATGTCCTGCCATAAAAAAATGTCTAAATAAATTGTGGTACATTAATGTAAGAGAATACTATAATACAATTAAGGCCAATACGTATCATGAATACAGAGAATCTGGAAAGATCTTTAAATAATGCAGATTTTCTTAAAAAGCAGAAGCAGAAAAATGAAGACTATATTTCCTGCAAGGCTACATATCAGTAGAAAGCCTTTCAGAGCCTCAGATGCATAAAAAAGTACTTAGCTTAGCATTTTTGTCGCTGAAGGGAGTATAAGTGGTCTCCATACTTAGGTATATTGATTCCAAATCTAGTTCTCTTTCCACCAGGGGTGGGAAGCCTATGGCCTCAAGGCCACATGTGAAGTTTGGATTCAGTCAAAGGGCTGCACTTGAGGACCCAGAGAGTCACACTGGCCTCGAGGCTGCAGGTTCCCCACCCCTGCATTAGACCATACCGCTGCTGTACATTTTTTACAACAATAATGGCATTTATATAGCAGTTTAAGATGTCCCTAGTGCTTTACAAATATTATCTCATTTGATCCTCACAGAGCCCTGGGGGCTAGGTGCTATTATTATCCCTGTTTTACAGTTGAGGAGACTGAGGCAAACAGTGGTTAAGTAACTTTCCCAGAGTCACACAGCTAGTAAGTGCCTGAAGTCAAATTTGAACTCAGATCTTCCTGATTCCAGATCCAATGCTCTATCCACTGAGCCACGCAGCTGTCTCAAAAACAGCCAGTTGAGGAAGCAGGTGAAAATTGTCTTCCCAGACTGGGTGACCAAATTAAACATTTAAAGTCTCTTCAGTAGGGTTACAAGAGAATGCCAACTTTTTTGATAGCAGAAAATATTCTGCCTGCAAGCTTGCACCATGTTTAACAGATGTGCTCTTTGCTGATGGCTTTCACACCATAAACTGCCATACAAAGACTACCCTGAAATAGACAAATGAATGACCATCACACCTTTCCCCCACCTTCTTCCCTGAACCTGTGGATTAGAACACTAATTCTGCCCCTGGGCCAAGGCAAACCTGAGGGTCATTACTGCTTGAATGTAGTAAAGAGGAGAGGAAAGAAGAGGAGGGAAGGAAGAAAGAAGGAGGGAAAGGGGAGAAAGAAGGAAAGAGGAGAAGGGGAAGGAGGAAGAGGAGGGGGAGAGAAAGAATACTGACTAAAGGCAGGAGCCAGGTCTAGTTAGTACCTGTTGTTTATCCTCCTTCGTCCTGGGAAAACCCCAAGTACTCTGACCTGTGTGTGAAAGGATGGCAGTCATTTTCAGCTTTGGAGAACCCTCCTTATTCCTTGGGCCAGGAAATGCATAAACATTTTCCTCAGGGGTCAGATCTGCAGCAGCCCTCACCTCACCTCTGAGCAGAGTAGTCTTGTGAGAGAAGTCTCTCCATCTGGTTGACATTTTTGACCTGTTCTCATTTGTTGGGGCTCTGTTAATTAGAGTAATGCAAACAAATTTAGACTGACTCGCTCCAAGTCATGTGAAGCATTCAAACAGGCCAAGCCTTGGATGAGGCTCAAAAAATACACAAGCTAGTTGTACATGTGACCTGAAACAGCTATTGATACCATGCACACCTGCATACAGAAAAAAACAAATCTTCTGGGATGCGTGTCATAGAACCAGTAGAACCATGGGGCTTTACGGCGTTTAGAATATCACTCATCCCTAAGAACATTAGCTCCTATTTCATTTTTGTCTTTGTAACCCCAGTGCCTATGGCCTTACATATAGGCCCTGCAGAGAAGACCCTCAAGGCCTTACATATAGTTGGATAGGGGGACTAGTCCTCTGATCTCATAGTCATAGAGAACTCCCCATGAGTAAATTCCCTCTACTAATGCAAGTCAGCACCTTCTCTGCAAAGTCAAGTCGTTGAGGGTTGCCCAGTGTACCAAGAGGTTAACCGACTTGCCCAGGGTGGGTCTTTTAAGGAGATGATAGAGGGGGTGTTGTTCTTCATCCTTCATTTTCAAAGAGAACTGATGACATCCGAGGGTAACATCTTGCCTCAGGCATGGATTGGATTTAAGTGAGGCAGAATGGCACCAAGTCACCAGCCTCACTCTCTCTTCAAGAGTCTTCAAAGTCCGGTGGCAAGACAAAAATCACGACTCCTGGTGATGGGGAGAAAATAAATACACAAAGAACACATGTATACAAGTAACGTAGACTGTGACAAGGACATGGCAAGTACACAGTACAGTGAGATTTCCAGAGAGAATTCTTCTAGCCACAGAGCTGTGACTAACACAGCCGAGACTAGAATTCAGTTTTCGTGGTTCTTAGGCCGAGGGCCTTTCCACGACCCCACTGTGTCTGGTTGTCATTTATAGGAGGATGACCCACAGGATCACAACGTAGAGCTGGAAAGAGCTTCACTAGTCACAAAATCCAACCCTGTCATTTACAGATGACGAAACTGAGGCCCAGAGAAATTGTACCCGTGAAAACAAACAAAAAAAGGATACAAGGCCTCTTTCCTTTGCTGCTGCAGCCCACTCTGGCCACCAGAGCATAAGATCCTAGATCTTGGTGGGATCTTAGAGGTCATCTAGACCAAACATCTCACTTTACAGGTGAGAAAGTTGAGGAATAGGGATGTTAAATGACTTGTCCAGGGTCACATAACTAGTGTCTTAAGTGAGATTTGAATCCAAACCTGACTCCAGGTCCTATGCCCTCTTCCACTATTCCATGCTGTGCCTCTAATAAGGTACTCTTAATTTTTTTTAAGAAATTTTTTGTTCAGTGCCCAAATAGAGAGTATAGGCTCCTTCTAAACCAAAAATGAGTCATTTGAGCCTAAGGCAGGATTGCTTTATTAAAGAGTCAAAAAGAATTTGATTCAAGATAAATTAGAAGTGTCACAATTACCATGGAGACACAACTCAGTTTGACCAGATTTATTAAACCCTTCCTATAAAACCCTTCCTATGTATGGGGTGCCTTGCTAAGTACTAACATCCAAAAAGTGGTATCACCTAGCCTCGTGTACAAGGAATCCAAGAATTTCAGGGATATAATGTACAAAAAAAAATTATAAAACAACATAGAATATAAACCCAGCAAAGACTGAAAGTTAGGCAAAAAGGCTGAAGAAACTTTGTGGAGAGAGAGGTCTCTTTCAGCTTGGAGGGCTGTGTTTGGGGAAGGTCAGGGAAAGCTTCAGTGTCATCTGAAGTGAGGTACTTTTAATTAAAGGAAGAACAGCATGTCAAAAGCTGATTTGTGGAAAGAAAGCATTTCAAGAGTGGGGAACGGCATGTGTGATCATGAGTGGTAGGAGAAGGTGGAAGGAGGTCAGAGAATGCCCAGTAGTCCTGCTTGCCAGAAAGCGGAACAGGAGGAAAATAAGGTAGGAAAACCCAGATGGAAAGAGGAGTTTCTCAGGTTTGGGTGCCAAAATGGAAGAATCAAAATAGTTCCAGATCATGGACCAGAGAAAATATTTTGTGTATTCTTAAAGGACAGTGTGATTAGTGAAAGCACGGTGAATCGTCTGCCTTTTCCTCACCGTGGGACGTGAGAGCTCTTCTCAGAGTCTCAGCTGTGAAATGGAAATAATCCTCTGCTACTTCTCCCTCTCTTTCCCTCCTTCTTTCACTTTCAACAGCAGGGCCAAGGTTTAGAAAAGGAAACACAGCAGCTAGAACCCCTGGTTGAATGTGTTACACAGACTTTAACATCATTTAACTTTATTATGGGTGATTCATCTCTGGATTGTTTCCATACAACCAATTTTTAATTAAATTTGACTTTCCTTACATCTGTTCTGAAGGGCTTTCCCTTGGAACTGGCAAACATAAAAGCTTAGTGAGCCAGACTTGTTCATTTGGAAAAGAGAAAAGGGTGAGGGAAATTGAGGAGAAAGAGGGGCAAAGTCAGCTGCCCCTTGGACTTATGTTGTCTCAGGGGATTAGTGCTAGCAACTTCAGGAGATTCCTTTCCTTCCTGTAATGCTGGGAAGTAAAGTGCAGCTGCTTTTCTGGAGAGCAACATTCTGGATGGTTTTTTTTTTCTCATTCTTCCTTCCCCCATTATCTTCTCCCGCTTCCTTTCCTCCCCCACCCCTTTCCTGCCCCGTCTCTTGATTGTCCCCCCAGAGATCTGTGCTTCGGACTGTGGAGGCCACGGAGTCTGCGTGGGAGGCACGTGTCGCTGTGAGGATGGCTGGATGGGGTCGACCTGTGATCAGAGGGCATGTCACCCTCGCTGTAATGAGCACGGGACCTGCCGGGACGGCAAATGTGAATGCAGCCCAGGCTGGAATGGAGAACATTGCACCATTGGTACGGGGGAAAGGAAAGCAACCTTGAAAAGCATTGTTAGGCTTGGGGGAAGGGGAGGAGGCAGGGGGAGTCCGAAGAAGCATGTCTCACCGGGTTTATGTGACCACTTCTGACATTGTCCATTTTCATTTGGGGACCCAGCAGGAATGTCCTTTCATTGAGTGACGCCATCACCAGCTTTTTCATATCCTCATCAAAAGATTAAATCAGCAATGCACTTCCCTAATTCTCCTGGCTCCCCGCCACTCCCCCTACAGATCACACTCTTCACCGAGGCACTGTGGTATCATAGGAGGAGCTTTGGGTCTAGAGCCGTCCCTGGGCTCCAGTACCAGCTGACATCCGTTTTGTGACTCTAGGAAAACACTCTGTGATTTGGCTTTCTCACCTGAAAAATGGGGCCAGTAATATACGCCACACGTACCTCACAGAGTGTAGTTGGGAAGACCAGATGAGATTGGGCATGGCAAGCACTTTGTAAAACAAAAATATGAGCTGTTATTACTAAATTCGGGTAACATTTATTGAGCATGTACACAGAATCCTCTCTCACCAAGGATCAGATTATAAGTTGGATAGTTGAGTCTTCCTATTTAATTAGAAGGGGTTGAATTTACACTAATTCAGTTCAACAAATGTAAAAGGTAAATCCCACAGATATTTCCTAAGCACTCAGCAGGAGAGGAAAGCGAGCCCCAAAGCCAGAAAGACTTGGGTTTAAGGCTTGCCTTTGACAAATACTAACTGTGCGACCATGAAAAATTTCACTTAACATCTTAGTATTTATTATAACTATTTCTAGCTAGCATTTATATAGTACTTTAAATTTTGCAAAGTAATTTACAGGTATTATTTCATTTTATCCTCACAACAAACAACCCTGAGAGATAGGTACTGTTATTATCTCTGTTTTAGAATTGATGAAACTGAGGCAGACAGTCAGTAGGTGACTTGTCCAGGCATACAACTGAGGCATTATTGGAATTCAGGTCTTCCTGACTCCAGGCCTGGTGTTCTATCTACTGCATCACTTGGCTGCCTCTCAGTGCCCCCAGGCAGTGTTCTAAGCATAAGTCAGCAAACTACACAAGTAGGGGGATCTCCTTATACCAATAAAATCGCAGTTTTAAGTCCCTCTCCCTAACTCTGGACTGTGTCATCCACTGTGCTAAGGACCAGGGGAGAGGATAAGAATGATTATAACTCATATTTCAATAGCGTTTTACAGTTTAGAAAGTGTTTTCTTCGAAGGCCTAAAAAATTTTATTTTCCCTGGGTCAGAGAGTAAGGAAGCCTTGAATGAGGTCTTTTCACTCTAAGTTCAGACCCTGTCTTCAAGGAATTAACAGTCTAGGGATAAGGCTTGTACACAGACATTTATTGAATGCTTCTTATGTGCAATGCTCTAGGCTGTGTGCTAAAGAAGATAAAAAGATGAACACGACTTCAGTCCTTGTCCTCTGAGAGCTAAGACAAGTATGCCCTAAGCTCAGCACCCTTCACATACAGTTACAATGGTCCCCAACCTCAGAGCTCGCTCTGAGCTTCCAAAATCCTGCTGAGGTCTTCTTGATAGACACAGTAGGGGTATATACACAGCCTCCAGTTCAGCTCTGGCCCCTTCCTTCATCCGCCCCTCACCTACTCCTTTAACTGTCATAGTTAGGTGAGTCACAGTCACAGAAGTATTCATTCATTTATAAAAACAAACATTCATTGAGTCAGTGGAGTACAGAGCATTGTCCTTGGTGCTAGATCTTAGAATATAGAATGTGAGAGCTGGAAAGAATCTGTAAACACTGATTGATAAAGTCAGAAGGCACCTGAGAAATTATTTAACAGTAGACATTTATTGAGTACTGCTGTGTGCCAAGCACCAGGCTAAGAGATGGGGGATGATTTTTTTTTTATTTTTAAAAAAGCAAAAGACATCCCCTGCCTTCAAGGAGCCCTGTCTAATAGAAGAGACAACATAAAAATAACTGTGTACAAACAAGATCTATACAGATAAATTGGAGATAATCAATAGAGGAAAGGCCTTCGCATTAAGAGAGACCAGGAAAGACTTCTCATAGGTGGTATTTTAGATGAACTTGAAGGAAGCTGGCAGTCAGAGTCAGAGAGGGAGCATTCTGAAGAACTCTGAACGGTCAGTGAAAATGCCACCTCCCTCATTTTACAGATGAGGAAACCGAAGCCACGAGAAGGCAAGTGACTTGTCCAGAGTCACACAGCCAGGTAGAAAGAGAGCTGAAACTGGAACCCACTTCTCCGCCTTCCAGTCCTGGAATGTTGCCCCTATACCACACAACCCACCTTAGGCCATTACTATTTGCTGTAAAACCTAGTTTCCTTATGCCTCTCCTTTCTTGCCTTCCTGCTATCTTCTTGCTTTGTTGAAATACCAGTTTGGCTTGCTTAATCATCAACAGATGAACACAAACAAAAGCGCTCCTTATAGACTTAAATAGTGACTAGGGGATGGAGAAGATTTGCCTGTTTTGTTGTAGAGTGTTTTTTTTTTTCCAAATCTGGCCTCAGACACTTACTAGCTGTGTGAGCTTGGACAAGTCACTTAACCTTTGTTTGCCTCACTTTCCTCATCTGTAAAATGAGCTAGAAAAGGAAATGGCGAACCACTCCAGTATCTTTGCCAAGAAAACTCCAAATAGGGTCACGAATATGGACATGACTGAAAAGTGACCAAACAACAAAAACGATAAGTAGATGGTTAGCACATGGGTCTAGGAGTCAGAGCTTTATTACAAGAACCATTCCCAACTCGTATATTGACTCCTTAGCTCAGGCCAAGAAACAGGCATGACTGTTTGGGAATGAGCCTTTCTGCTCATCTGATGTGCCCTTGAGTCCCAGGTGGATAATATGACACCCTTCTGTGACATCTGTACTGTTCAAGTGGCAGAAGCACTTCCAATGACAGTTTCTTTATGTCCTTGCCATTTAAAGACCTATATGGGGGAAACCCTACAGTTTCTGATACATTTATATCCCAATAGAACCATAAGATTTAGAGAAGGAAGGGAATTTAGGCTGTCTAGTTCATAGCATCATCAATTTGGACCTTAGAAGTCATCAAATCCAGCTACTTAATTTTACAAAGGGGGAAACGGAGGTCCAGAGAGGAAGTACCTTGTCTAACATCATGCAGGCAAAGGGGCAGAGTCAAGGTTCACACCCAGATCTAACTCCCAGGGCTAAGCTCTAACCACTACACCACAGTTCCTTCTCCCATCCCATCCTACTCCAGCGTAGTGTCAAAAAACACAGTTTTCCCTCTTCTGGAATATTGGTCCTTTGTTAAGCAAAATATTGATGAAGTACCTTCTTTGGGCAGAGGACTCTCCCATGTGCTGGTCAAGGTACCAAGTTTATATAAGACCGTGTCCCTGCCCCCATGGATCTTAAACTTCATTGGCCCAGTATCACCCATACAACATCCTATATTGCCTCTACCAATTCCAGATGTTGCATCTTGCTCTACCCTTTGGGGTCAAGCAAGACAGTGCTTCTACAGGAAAGCCCCTCATGTATTTGTAAACAGCTGTCATGGCTTCTTCCTTCAAGTCTTCTTCCTTTCGTTTCCTTCAAGCAAGCCCCTTCTTCTTCAGTTGGAGCCCACTGTTGTTTGAGGATGTCAGCTGTTTTTAATCATTTGTTTAGAGTTCTGTTGCCGCAGTCGCCAGACTGTCCAAAGCTTGTGAACATCAGTCTTTGGGATGATAAAATCATCTTTGTCTGAGTTAAATGACTAGATATTTAGGAAAATTCCCCAGACCCGTAGCATAAATGATAGCCAAGGAGATTTGTCAGCAAATTGAGCCCCATTTCATGCTTTCCATAGTTGGTTGTTTTGTTTGGGTTCCCCCTCCCCATGACTCTACGAACACCCACTCCCCTTTTTGGAGTCTAGAATTCAATTTCTCACCCCCTTTGATTCCCGTTGCCACAGGGCTGTGGTCCTTTGAGAACCAGTTCTTCCCTGAAGTCACAGATAATGGTTTCCCCTTCTGGGCCCTGCCTGTAACAGCTGCACATACTGCCCCCTGAAATTTGACCAAGTCACAAATATCAGCACAATTTAATAGGATGTCGAAGAGGTGGCGAGTCTTAATATTGGCCCAGGTGAAAGGACATGGCCTGCATTGATGTGCTGAACATTCCCTTGGTCCCTGTCTCCTTTCCCTGCATGGTGACTTGACTGATTGCAGATGACCCTCTTTTGCATCTCTGCCTCTGCCTGGCTGCATTATGTCATTTCAGGTGTGACACTCCGATGTCTTCATGTGCAGGTAACACAAGAGGATACACATAGGGACAGGCTCACCCTGGATGCTGTTATTAATTGGTCCCACGAAAGTATGACATTTGGCAAAACAGTGCTCCTGGGGCCAGTCTGTCCCGTGGTGTTACCTAGGAGGAAGGACATTGAGCCTCTCCAGTGGGGAATGGGAGCAGAGCCAGAGCTGCTGGGAGTTAGAGATGGAAGAGAAGAGAGAAGGAAGGAGTCTAAGGATAGTGTGGTAAAGTCCATCACGGTGGGCTATATCTTAATATCATTATCAAAAGAGTCATTGTGAAGTGGAAAGAGCACTGGGTATGGAGAGCCCTGGGGCCAAATCTTGCCTCTACTTATTGCCTTTGTGACCATTGAAAAGTCACTTCCTCCCTCCCTGGGCCTCAGTTTCCTCATCCATAGAATGGGATGGTTGGATTAGATGAGGTCCCTTCTAGTTCTCAGTGCTGGGATCTTACAATACAGATCTAGACACTTTCCTGTAGGATAGATACATGAGGGAAGATCTTTTATTTCTTGTTTGAGCGCACACAAGCGTGGAACTTTATTTTATCTTTTAAAGTAGCAAAATACACTTCATAATAACTTACTTTAAGATACCATTTTAAAGTTTATGTGAGAGACAGTTTGGGTTAATTGATAGAGAGCTTGGAACCAGGAAGAACTGCGTTCAAATTCTGCTTCT